TCCAACAGCACCCCTCCCAGATAAACACACTTATTGTGAAGGTATACATCCTGCTGACTGTTGCTTTGGGTCACGGTTCTGATTTCCCACAATGCTTTGTGTCTGCTCACGTAGCAGGAAGGCAATAGCGAAAACAGTAAACGTTTGTAATCCATGCTAAAATTTTGTTTGTATTGATTTATTTTACTTTACAATCAGAGCTCCTTTTTAAAAAAATAAAGTTTAAACGCTGGAGCTCAATACTTGATGTAACCGGTGATGAAGACTGACATCTAGTGGTCAACTGGAGCAACTACATGGAAAACTTTAAAATCCAAGCTCTTATTTTGAAAGGAAGATAGTTTCCTTTTTTTGCTTTCGTTTCCCGTCACAAATCAAATCCGTCATRTACCCAGAATGCATCGCTTCAGTTTTCCAATAAACAGTTTTAAAATTACTTTATTGATGCTTCTTTAATGAAAAATCTACAACAAACAAAAGAAAAAGGCAAAGTTGGTTGGCCTTGTGCTGTTTAAAGTGCTTTATAAATAAAAGTGGTAGAGTAGGATATGGTTTATAAATACTACATATTTACTGTGTATTTTGTTTGGTGTGCAGAATTCATTATTATTTTTATTTCCTGTTTTCCGCCCGTCTTCTTCATATTTGTTTGTGTGAAAGTTTCGAGCCCCCGACCCTCTCCACCTGTCGTGTTTTCACGTGGATGAGRAGTTCAAACATCACAGCTCCTGTTGTCGCTTCACTGCTGCTTTTTACTCATCAAACGTTCAGTTCAAACCCYGAAACATGCTGGATGTGAGGAGAGACGCCGTCAGACCTTTTTCTCTTCTGACTTCCACCTTCCTCTGCTGTCGTGTCTTTGTTTTTGTTTTTCTGTTTTTTTTTTCTTCTGATCCGTTTTGGTTCAGCGAGGATCAGGAAGCAGCTTTTATGTCACCGATTTAGTTTTTTCTTGATGTTTTCATCAAGTCTGCAGCTCAGGTGGTTTAAAAGCATCATAAAAATGCAAGCTGACATTTTTCTCATCAGTCAGACTTTTATAAAAATGTTTTTAAATAAAAGTTGTTAGATTTGTCCTGTTGGAGCACAGATTGTTAAATTTAACAGATRTATTTTTGTTTTCGTCTCTTCTCCTCCTCAGCAGCAGTCAGAGGCTCGGAGCTCCAGGCCATCAAATCTGAACTGACCCAGATCAAAACCAACATCGAGGCTCTGCTGGGCCGACTGGACCAGATCACAGAGGACCCCCACGTCCCCCCCACAGGTCACCCACAGCACTCAGCTTGTTTCATCCTGCAGGTCTGGTTCTGGCTCCGGTTCACAGGTGGCGCCAGATCCTTTGTTTCTGTTCGAAGCCGACCCTGCAGGCTGCACTGATGCAGAGGAGCCATGATTCAAAACAACATCTTCACTTTTTAAAAGGAACATTTCACATCTTAGATGCAGGTTTATCCTCAGATGTTGGACGTCAGGTAAAGAAATGATTTAACATCAATGAAATCACCTGAAAAAAGCTGAGATTAAACCTTTTATTTAGCTCTTTATCAGCAGATGGTTTCATTTTAATAAAATAAAAYATTGCACATCCAAATGAGACCATCTGAACAAATTAAAAGTTTCACATTGATCCATCTGCAGGTGATAAACAGAGTTCAGACTTAAAAAATACAATTTGTTTGAATTATTAAAAACAGTTATTCTGTTTTGTCTAGGAGTAAAATTATTTTTATTTTATTTTAAAGTACTCTGAGTGTCACCAGGCTGGTTTTCATGTTGAAGCTTTGAAAGCAAAGATAATTTTGTAACTAAAACAACTTTGTCTTTAAGTGAGACAATATAACATTTCAGTNGACTAACAAGACAAATAATCTTACACATTCTGAAAACAAGATGATTATTCTTACACAATCAGTTCTTGTTTAGTAAATCAGTCTGAAAACAAGATCAAAAAGACTTTTTGGCTGATATAAGATTTTAAAACTTGGTTAGGTGAATAGTTTTTGCAGTGTAGCCCCCATAAGGACTACTGGTCTGGTCTTGATAAGGTAGGTGTGTATACCAGACAGGAACTTAAAAAGGTAACAAATATGCATACACACACAGACACACACAGACACACACAGACACACAAGCAAAGTAAATCTCAGGTGTGAAACAGTTGAAAACTCATCTCCAGTCTTTATTCTTCCATCTGCTTTTATTTCTCCTCTAACTTGTCTCGATCTTTAGCTTCTTTTATTTTGTTCTGTTTGTAAATGTGAACTTAAACAGATTAAAACACTAAATGTTTTAAAGGACTGCGTGTCGCACACTGCCTCTCATGAGTTGTCATCACTGAGTCAAACTTTGAAAACAGCATCGTGGGTGAAAAAGGATAAAATCAGCTGTGGATTTCTGAATTTTACTTACATTAGCTGCTTGTTGTTGTTGTTGTTGTTGTTGTTGTTGTTGTTGTTGTTGTTGTTGTTTTCTTCACTAATTGTCTGAAGTTTTGCTGCTGCGCTCATGAGTTTGAACTGAAATTATTTTCTAAAAGCTCAGCAGCTCCCTCTAGTGGAAACAAGAAGAAACGTCAATTTTCTAACAGTTTGACAAATTAAAGTTTTAATCGTTTTTTTTTTCAGAGTTTTGTTTATGTTGTACATTAAAGATTAAATTGTCCACAGAATTGTCATCTTTTTGTTCTTTCTTAGACATCAACATGGCAGGAGAACCGAGACCAAGCAGACCCAAAGTCTTGAAACGATCGGCTGCTTCTCTGTACAGGTTGGTTCAGGGGCGGATCAAAAAAAAATTATTTATTTAAGGCTGAGGTTCTCTGTTAATCTTGGGATGGCAAAGCAAAACAAAACCTATAAAAACACATTTATTTTGTTCTCGTGTGTAATTTTGATTTTCCCTGAGCTCTAAAATCATTGCAGCTCTTTAGTTTCTCCGACGTGTCGTGTTTTTCCTGCAGTGGTTACGAGTTCGACTACGATTACTACAGAGAAGACTTCTACGACAGGTGAGGTTTGTCTCACCTGTCTGTGTGTCCCTGTGATGGACACGATGTCCAACGTCTCTGACCACAAACACTCGTCCAGCTCTTTAAATTTAAACAACAAACATGTAAACAAACAGTTCTGGTTTTTAGAGAGAAAATAAATGAAACATTGATTTACGTTCTCTGACTCCTGCACAGTTTTAAATCAAATGTTTATGGAGTTAGTTTCATTCTTTACATTTTAAAAAGACAGACGTTCAGAGGTCATTAAACTTTGATTGTCTGCTCCAAGCTTCAGGCTCAAATAAATCCATAAATACATTAAAAAACAAACAAYGGTTTTAAAAACTGCAGTGAAAATAAAGAGTTTTCAGCTTTGCAGTTACATTTTTACAAAAATGCACATCAGGTGTAAAATAATAGACGTATTAATTTTATTGGTTAAAGTTATTAGAAATTACTTTTTTGATTGTTTGAAATAATAATAATATTTGTTGTTGTTTAAATATCTCTTTTGTTTGGTTGAATTTATTCATCCATCCATTTTCTGTACATTTGTTTTTAAT